CCTGCCTGTAACTGACTCACCTTGAGAGCCTGAGGTGCCGGGTGCCATGCGGGGGGACCAACATCTGTCAAGAGGCCCATAGACAAAGGCGATGCAGAAATTACACCCACTCCTTTCTCTTCCAAGTATGGTAGCATGTCTGCAAGAGACTCGTCATTAAGACCACAGCGACAGTACGACAGCACCACGTCCAGCGTACCAGGCTCAAGTTCATCCAATACCAACTTGAAAATCTTCAGAGGAAAACCAGACACTCCAATGAAACGGAGTTTCCCTGCTGTCTTCAGTCTCTGCAGCGCAGGGATCGTCTCACTTACAACCTGAAAGACGATGACACAGCACAGATGTCATACACTCATCCCACATGAAAGATGGATTCAATATTGCCATTAAAACAAACAAAAAAACTTTGAGAAAAGCACTTATTTAGTGCACTGAGCATCACTGCTCGACACCTTGAGCACACACACACATTGAGAAATTACACGAAAAAAATGACACTGGAGTCCAGGTATGCGCAGCTTAGAAATTCGAACAAATTATCACATTAAACAGTTTCGGAGATCCAGTCACCAAGCGCTCAACAGCACAGAATTCAGCAACTCATTACCAGCATCCTCATCTGAGGTAAGTGACTCTCTTCTCTCCCTGGCTCCCTCTCCCTCTCTCTCTCTACTCTCTCTCTCTCTACTCTCTCTGTCTTCTCTCTGTCTTCTCTCACTGTCTGTTTTCCCTGGTCTTCTTCATGCATGCGCTCTCTCCCCCTCTCTCTCTCTACTTGAGAATCTTGACTAACAATACATCTGCTGCTACTCAGCTCTACCTCCTATCGCTAGCTGCGTGGCTATGGCCGCCTTCCCTCTCAGTGCAGCGCTGCCCAGCAGGGATCTCGCGCGCATGCTACTCGCAGATAACGCACAAGCGCTTCAGCAGCACTTCCACACTTCTCACGAATGAGCCATCTGCCCAAAATGTGGCTGGCCAGTCCTTATATTGACTTGGACTGACGTCCCAGCCTCTGTTTCTTGTGGCTTGACTTGGTACTGGTACCACATGCCCACGGCCTGCTTGCTTCTGAATGTCAAGGCCTGGTACTTTTCCCAAATTTTCATGTACTTTTCCCGAATTTTCATTGGCGTGCTGCTGCTTGGGCCTGTGAGTCACGACTTTTCACCTGTGGAACACGACTTTTGACTGTGGGATGTGACTCTTACCTCTGGGACACGACTTTTGCCTGGGGAAGTGTCCTTTGCCTGTGGGATATGACTTTTCAATATGATTTTTCAATATGAGACGTGACGTTTGCTTTTAGGACGCAACCTTTGCCTCTGGGATGTGACTGTTTACCGGCTGCCTGTTGCACTTGACTCCTAAGGTACCCAACTATGACCTTTCTGAACTGACCGACTTGGCCTCCCTTGGCCTAGGACCTTGACCCTGAAATTCAAATTTGGGGTCGGCATCTTGGAATGCCTTTCACTCTCGCCGACCTAATTTCGAGCTCCGCCGAGAAAGTTACAATCTTTACCTATCAACTATGTTGATTCCTCGCCTAGCTCTCTCATAGTAAGACACTATGTGCGGTGCTGTTCCAATTAGTTCATCTAGGGTAAACCAGCGATCTTCAGAAGGCTCTTGATAAGCGAATCTGACTTTATACTGTCGCTGGAGTCTACCCCTGTGTCCCGATCTATTAACATCCTCAGCAACAGTGCAGTCCACATCATATTTGCCATCCATATCAGGAGGAATCATAGATCTCCGAGACGGAAACAGCTCATTGCTGAGGCATGAAACACCGGACTGAGGAATCTCAACAACGTAGGAAGGACCATCCACATCACCAATCACGTTGAGTATCTGCCACGGTCCCCTATATGCAGGCAATAACTTCTGCGAGATATTATCCTCCGGGAGAAACTCTTTAGACTTCACCCAGACCAAATCCCCTACAGCGAACTGCGAAGGTCTGCGGTGTTCATTTGGCTGTTCTATCATCTGATGCTGTGCCTTTCTGATGTTCTCTCTCACCTTTTCTAAGACTTTCTGATATTGCACAGCAAACTCTCTAGTCTCTGGCCGAAGCCTTTGCACTTGATCAGGGTTCAGACAGTCAACCGGTCTGCGTGGGCGCCAACCCAAATGCAGTTGAGTGGGCGTTCTTGCAGTAGCCAAATGCACAGAATTGTTATAGGCACTAGCGACCTCAGCTAGATGTTCATCCCAGTCAATCTGATCTGGTCGGATGTACATACGCAGCACCTGCTGCAACACTTTTTATCTGCTCAGTCTGTCCATTTGTCTCAGGATGTCTGCCTGCGGACATAGTCAGTTTGCGACCCATACACGCTCATAAGCTGTTGCCAGTGCTCGCCCATGAACCTTGTATCTCTATCACTCACGATAGCCAAAGGATGCCCGTAGTCCTTTACCCAATGATTGAAAAATTCCCGAATCACCTGGCTTCAGAAGGGAGTGGCACAAAACAGCAAACTTGCTAAATCTGTCCACTATCACCATAACTTTTCCCATTCCTACTTCTCATTTTAGTGTCCATAAAGTCTATAGACATGGAGTCTCCGAGACCCGACGGCATAGGCAGTAATATAAGTAAACCAAGGGGAGGCTGCATGGTATTTTTGTTTCTCTGACATACTTTGCAGCCCTAAACATTTGCTATGCCGTCATGTTTCATTCCAGCCCATGTATAGGAACGGAGGAGGTTAGCGTACGTTTTCCTCTACCCGAAGTGTCCCTCAGAGTCGTGACATTCCCCTAGGATTAGAAGGCGGATCTCTTCACTGTTTGGGATGCACAATCTGCCGTGCACATCTGTCTTCTCAAACAGTAGTCCTTGGGTCACTTTGAAGTCAGAAATTTGTGCGGTGTTGTCTGCACCTTGTCAATCAACTGACTATAGACTGGATCACTATAGGCAGACCTAGTCTTCTCTTGAGATTCCGCGCCTGCGTCTAAGTATGTTACAATGGCACCGAAGAAATCTGCTCGCCTACTTAGCGCATCAGCAGCAACGTTATACTTCCCTTTGACTGGCTTCAGTTCGAAATCAAACTGATCAATCTCCCCAGCCCACCTTGTCAACTTAGGTGTCATTCTAGCTTGGGTCTTCAGCCAGCGAAGTGTCTCATGGTCTGAATAGACTTTGAAATGTCTACCTAGGAGGCAGTGTCGCCAATGATTCAAGGCTTCTCTAAGAGCAAATAGCTCTCTCTCATACGTAGAAGCGACGAGAGAGCCAATGATTCAAGGCTTCTCTAAGAGCAAATAGCTTCTCTAAGTGTCTCATGGTCTGAATAGACTTTGAAATGTCTACCTAGGTAGTCCACAGGACATGAACTCAACAAGTCTGTACCCATCCATACCCATCATTCTGTTGGAGTAGAACACCTATTCTGTATTGGCTAGCGTCAGTGGTAATGATAAACGACAAGGATGGATCAGTGATCTTCAGAACAGGGTACTCTATCAAGCACTTCTTTAGATGTTTAAAGGCTGAAGTACAGTCTTTATCCCATCTCCAGACTCTCTTTCCTTGACAACCTACGCAATGGAAAAGCTAATACAGTGAAGTTCCTCACGAATTTGCGGTAATAGTTAGCCAGACCAAGGAACGACTGTAGTTCCATCAACGTATGTGGCGTCGGCCAATATCTAATTGCTGCGATCTTAGCGTCTTCTGGTTTAATTCCATCTCCATCCAACACATGTCACAAATATAACACCTGACGCTTGGCCCGCTCGCACTTCTTCGGGTTCAACTTAAAATGTGTACCGTGCAACTTGTTCAGTACCGGTCTGAAGCAAGCCAAGCCAAGCGAAGCCAGGCCCAGTCCTATATTTAGCTGCTACAGTGCAGCAGCTCATCACTTGTTCAGTTGCGAGACGCGGAAGCGCTACTGCTGCTTGTGCATTAAGGAAACTTGGGAGCTGCGCGCCCGAAGAAGAAGAGGGCGCACGCGTGTGACACCACAGCTAAAGTGAGATAGAGCTCGAGGACAACGGCCATAGCCGCCAAGGTGTAAAGCTCACCTGAGTGGGTGTATCCAGGGTGATGACCTAGGCTAGAGAGAGAAAAAAACAAGAGAGAGTGAGGCAGAGCGAGACGAGAGAGAGAGAGAGAGAGAGAGAGAGAGAGAGAGAGAGAAGCCAAAGTCGCCACCTAATTGAGATCCGCTGTGTGTGTGGGTGTGCGACAGAGCCGCAAGAGAAACATTCTTGTACATTGACAATAATATTGGAGACGACATCTTCAGGTGTTGATTGTATCTCGATTCGACTTCTCACGTGTGATCTCTCATGTGAATGTTGATTGATGTATGCGAGGTTGAAATTGACGAGTACTTGGCTCATTTCAGACGGCCCTTGACTGGTCGGCACCTACCTTGTCGGGGGTCGTCGACACCTATCTTGTCGAGGGTCGTCGGCAACCCGCAAAAAAAAAGAGAAAAAGAAAGGGTCCAGAACCCCTTATAACCCCACCAACGACCCC